CTAACAATGACTCCTTTTTCTTTCTCTCTCTCTCTCTCTCTCTCTCTCTCTCTCTCTCTCTCTCTCTCTCTCTCTATATATATATATATATATATATATATAATGTCAAACACAAACGTTCGCTATGTCAGTCGTCGTCGTCTTTACAGTATATCAAAGCCATTGGACAGGTATGTCGGTCTCTCTCTCTCTATATATGTACATGTATATGTATGCTGCCTGCTGAAGCAAAAATCTGCGGATGGCATCGAGGAGTTGAGCTGCAGGGAAACGATGAGAAATTTCATCGTCCGAGTCTGCTTAGGATGGTTGGCAGCAGCGATTCTGGTGAATGGTCAGCCAGGTACTTTGCTTGCGATGTGCATAGCTTTTTCTTGTTCTTGTTCTCGAGCAGCACCCATTGCGAGAGCATGCTTGGCACCATGGATCTCTCTCTCTCTGGTGGTTGCGTTCTCATGGTGACTCCATTTGAATTGCATCAATTGATGATGACCACATATTTACAACTATATTTGATTCTTTTATTCTCTATTCCTTCTCTTCTCTCCCAATTTCTCCCCTCTTTTTTTTTCTCTCAATAAAATATTAATTTAGATTTTGATTATTCAACATCGAATGCTCATTCCGAACTAATCATGATCTTAATCCATATCCGGTATCGGGTGAAGATGTCTTCGAACCAAACTCTATAAAATTATATTAATAGTGTACCGAATAAAACTCTTTGATTCTTAAATTATATTAAAGAATAAATGATCTAAGAGAGTTCAGATCTCAAAACATATACTTCACGGGCCTTTTTATATAGTGAGAGGTCAAAGATTATTATACTCTACTTCCATATATCATCTCACACACACACACACACAAATTAATAATAATTCATTAATAAAAAATCTATGTATCCCAGAAATCATTTATCTATGAAGAGGAGAGTACGACGATTCTTGTATGGATCTGACATATATGACTTGCATTTATTTATTGACGAAAAGAAAAATCGACAATGACTATTCCAATTCATGACATTCATATTGGATTTATATAATTAGTCAACAGATGGAGAGTTCCCATCTTCTTCTTTGTTAATTAACCTTTTGCCGTAACAGACATATGTCATACGAACAGATCACCCAACCCAAATCATCTGTGCAGGATTCATGAGCATCGACTGTGGCGTCACTTGTGGCTATACGGACTCCGAAACTGAAATACTATACCAAGTCGATGAAGGATACATCGACATAAGGTGTGACTGTAGTGTGCTCATGCATGTAAAACGTTTTTCCGGGCAGAGTTGTGTCAAAATGATTCATGGAGCCCATTTTCTATTTTGAAATGAATATTAAAATTTGTTCCGAGGGAGCTACAATAATCATCTATATGCCATGGCTGATGCTATGATGCTATGATGCTATTTGGTGGACATTGGCTGAACCTGCAAAATTAACAGCTGATGCTATGATGGGGATAAAGAAATTATATCAGGTGAAGATATGGCAGGGTGATCCTTGTGCTCCACAGCAATTCATTTGGAGTGGAGTAAATTGCACCTACTCAAGCTCTGGTACCCCAAGAGTCACCTCATTGTAAGCTCCAAGATTTGGTTGTTTTAAAAGACATCAATGAATAGCACTGATTCTGATGTAATGATTTCTACTTTATTTTCTTTTGCAGAAACCTCTCTTATCATGGGTTGAATGGTGCTATACCAAATGCTTTGGTTAATCTGAAGGCCCTTAACTATTTGTAAGTTTCTAAATTTATCGTCAGAGGCTGCTGGCTAGCAACATCATGCAGAGAACTTGAGAACAATTTGTAGATTTTGCATGAAATTGACTTGTTACCCTTGTACATGTGTATTTTATTCACTTCTAATCTGTCACATCTTAAAATTTTTTTTTTTCACACATTTACGCCAAAAGATAAACATCACTTTATTCATCATTCATAAACATTTATTACAATTAATTTATTACAATCTATTTATTCATCGAATCATAAATAGAAAAATAAACATGATGATGTTAACTTCAAGAATCATCCAAGTGGCTCTACCTAGCGGTAGAGGAAGGTCCGCTCTCCACTAGAATCTGATTTAGTATTAGAGGGAGGCTGCTCTGAAAATCAAAAACAAAGAAAATTCAGCAACGCTGAGTAGGAACCCCAAAAGTCAACTCTAAATGTATATATGATCAAAAATCAATCAATCATCCCATTGGCGTATATCAAATACCCGAAGGAGCACTCCCCCAACAGCGGATGGAGAGGCTTTACCCTACGGGATGAGTTTGTGTTCTCCCAACAGCGGATGGAGGCAAACTCATATCGCACTCCCAACAACGGATGGAGTGGTGTCCCACACCCGCCAAAGTGGGGACACGTTCCTCCCAACAGCGGATGGAGGAACCGTCCAGCCGCCACGTCTGACGGCCCACTAATCCCCGAAGGGAATCGCCGTACCTGCTCTCGGCAGGAAAATAATATAATCTTACACTGGTAATGTCCATTTCGGGATGAAATAACATATTTAAAACATCTCTTTCAAATATCATCAAAATCAAGTAATATAAATGAGCCCTTAATTGACTTGAACTCTAGTTTAATCGATTCAATTGAACTCGATTTACTAGAACCTAATTGAATTGATCTCTAATCCTTATTTAATTGGTCTGGAACCATCCTAGACTAGTATAATTTAGACTAGATTAAGTTCAATTTAGGATAAACTAACTTGAATAAGTCAATCAATTCGGAATCACCCTAAATTGATCTAGACTAATCAAGTCTAGTTTAGTTCAATCAACATTTGAGCTCAAGTTCAACAATAACATTGGACTAGATTGAGTCAGTCCATCGGTCATGTGCATTATACATGATTGAGCATGCATTACACAAAATTGGCCCAGCCCTGGCCCATGGACTAGTCATGTGCGTCGCATATGACCGCCCATAATAGTTGGGCTAGGGTAGCCTACGGGCCAAGGCTTGACCCGTGGGTTGGGCCTGGCCAGTGAGAAATTTCATTCCAATTAATATTCAATTTCATATCATAGCAAATACTCATTAACAATATAAATAAAAACATAATAATGCATTAAAAGATAGACAAAGAGAAAAGCTTTAATACAAGGAAATAACATTATAAATTTGACTAGAAATCATAAGACATTAAAAGATGGATTGGAAGATAAGTTTTAATACAAGGAAATAATCTTCTAAATTCAAATAAAAATCATGTTTTCAACACATATAAAATTTCAACATATTCTAGTCATATTTTAAATCATTCAGAATAATATATTTTAAATTTCAGATTAAAAAATATCAAAAAGAAATTTAGATAACATATTCTAATCTAACAAGATTTTAATCCAGATAAGATTAAAGATAAATTTTAATACAAGAAATATCATATAAAACAAATATATTTTTAACATATTTAACTCTATAATAAAAACCTTAATCATGGGTCAAAAAATATTATGAAAACTTTAACTAATTACTTTAATATAAAAAGTTTGACATTTAAAGAATTGATACATATTTTTCAAACTATAAAACTTTCAACATTTAAAGAATCAAAATAAAAACTAAAACTTTTAAATTTAAGAAAGGTAGGGAAACCTACCTCTTGTCAACATGGTGTAACTCCTCGTTCCTCTCGTTGCCAAGCTCGACTAGGTGAGGAATGAAGGAGAGAAATCCCTCCCTTTAAATAGGAGGAGGTGAGCTTCTATTAAGGGAAATTTATTTTAATTTTCGTATTTATTTAATATAAATTATTTCCATTTAATATACTAACAAATATGATATCATTATATTTGAAATACTTAATAGTTATTTCCTTAATTCATATCATCAAGGAAGTAGATTAAGATTTCCTTAAATTATAATAACAAGTAAGGAAAGAAAATCAAATCATAACTTAAATATTTGATGTGATTACATTTCTCCCCTCCTATAGGAAATTTGGTCCCCAAATTTAGCTTACCTTAATAGAATAGATGAGGATACTGCTCTCGCATATCTTCTTCTCTTTCCCACGTTGCCTCTTAGTCTGAATGGTATTGCCAATATATCTTTACCAAAGGTATAATTTTGTTCCTTAGAACATGTTCTTTCCTTTCCGAGATCTGGGTTGGTTGTTCTCCAAAAATAACATCATCTCTTAGTTGTAGAGGTTGGTGAGATAGATATCAATTGGGCAGAGTTGGGTCCCCCTTTCCAACTCAGATTAGTAGGTTTAACCAATTGTCAGTTGGGACCTCAATTTCCAGATTGGTTGCAGTTCCAAACACAGATCCAATAATTACATTTGGCAGACTGTAAAATTGCAGGGACAATGCCCGCTTGGTTTTGGAATATTTCATCTTCTACCATCACAGAGTTAGACCTTTCCAACAACCAAATAGGAGGGAAGCTGCCATCTTCTTTAAAGTTCACCAAGTTGGAAAGATTACATTTGGAATCCAACAGATTTGAAGGTCCATTGCCAACGATGCTACCGTCTACACTTGTCGATATGGCCCAATGTTACATAGTGGGACTCTCAGATAACATGCTTGACGGTGGCTTATCTTCATCAATCTGCCAATGGACATATCTCGAATAATAAATTACTTGGTGAGATCCCTTATTGTCTGGGAAAATCATTACAAATCCTTAATTTCTTGAATTTGGACAACAATCACATCTCGGGTGAAATTCCACACACGATCGATTTTTTAAGTGAGCTTCAGCTATTGCAATTGAAAAATAACAGTTTTTCGGGTGAGGTTCCTTTGTCATTGAAAAATTGTACAAAGTTACAATTTCTTGATCTGGCTCAAAATAATCTTGTTGGAAGTATAATGCTATGGATGGGAGAAAATCTACGACAACTGGTTGTACTTCGTCTACGTTCAAATATGTTTTTTGGAGTTATTCCTTGGCAACTTGCTAGATTTGAACAGCTTCAAATATTGGATCTTGCTAATAATAATTTCTCTGGATCAATACCTCACAACATTGGTAATTTAAATACCATGAGATCGACAACACTTTACAATGAATCTTGTGATTATGAATCAGATGTCTTTACAAAGGGACAATATCTTTATTATTTACAATGCAGCATGCGACGTATGAAAAGTTTAGATCTTTCAAACAATCATCTAACCGGAGAGATACCGAAAGAAGTTGGAGACCTGCAGGACTCAAAAACTTAAATTTGTCAAGAAATTATTTAAGTTTAGGGATGTGTAGAAAAAGAATCCATGGAATGCAGCTTAGGGATGTGAGGCTTCTCACCACTCAGCTTATCTGCATCAATCAAGTCACCGCTCGTCTGTCAAACAGTGCTTATCCCACCGATTGAGACCGATGCTATTAGTTTCCAAAATACTGTATTAATCATGGCGGCTTTCATCCTTAGGTATCTATCGTTTTACCCCTACGATGATGGAACAAAAACTTGGCCCTTACTCTTACGTCACATGATGTTATGTTGAAAGTGACGATAGAGAAAAATAAGGAAGCGAGTTCAAAATTCAAAATTCAAAATTATGTATTTAATATAAAAACTTTAATATATTTTAATTCATCTCTCATCTCAAATTTTATACCTAAAGTATTACTTTACATGAGCTCTTATTTTATAAAGGGTAAACTTAAGGTTTCAATTTTAATTATTTCTTGGATAGAATTCATAAATCAAAATTCTATCTAACCATAAAGTTTAATTTATTATTCCAACCACACATAGCAAGCAAGCTGAGTGAGCTATGCCCAATTTATATATCATGGATAATGGGTACCACACATAGCATGCACCTCCACCTTCATCCTGTTCTTCTGACTGTGGCGGCTTGGAGTAAGTAGGTAGGTAGGGAGGGAGATCAAACTGCGCGCCTTGGTTTCCCTTTACGCTTCTTATCATCATTGTCGTTGTGCCTCTTGGCCCTCCTCCTCCACCGGGCCACGGTGACAAGTGGGTGTTTCAGCATGGAGAGGGAGGCACTGTTGGACTTCAAAGCCGGCATCCACGACACCCATAACCGGCTATCTTCTTGGGTAGGCCAAGACTGCTGCGCATGGGAGGGGGTCATCTGTGGTGCCACCACTGGCCACGTCGTCATGCTCGACCTCCGGAATACGTTTGATCGGGCATTACGCGGTGAGAGGATGATGAACTCGTCATTGCTTGCTTTATCACATCTGGAGCACTTGGATCTTAGCTTCAATAATTTCAGCGGGATCCGCATACCGGAATTCATCGGCTCCTTCAAGAAACTGAGATACCTCAATCTATCTTCTACAAACTTCATGGGAGGAATACCTGCCCGGCTGGGGAACCTTTCGAGCCTCTACGTTCTTGATCTAAGCGTTGCTTTACATTTTACATCCCTTGTTGACAACCTCGACTGGCTCTCCCATCTCACGTCCTTGAAGTACCTGAACTTGAGCGGGTTAAACCTAACTGATGTCCCGGATTGGTTCTCATCGGTGAACATGCTGCCATCCCTCCAAGTGTTATGTATGTCTTATGTTGGTCTCGATACCATCCCAGCTTCTGTTGAACCTAACCGATGTCCCAGATTGGTTCTCATCCGTGAACCAAACTCGACTGCCTAACCGATGTCCCAGATTGGATCTTTCAAACAATAGACTAACCGGAGAGATACCAAAAGGAATTGGTGACTCTCAAGAATTTGAATTTGTCAAGAAATCATTTACAAGGGAAAATCCCTTGGGATATAGGAGGAATGAAATTATTAGAATCCCTTGATCTATCGATAAACGACCTTTCTGATAGTATTCCTGGGAGTTTATCAGCTTTATATTTCTTGAGCTATTTGAATTTGTCGTATAATAATTTTTCGGGAATGATACCATATGGGAATCAACTCCAAACACTCATTGATCCATCCATTTACATGGGTAACGCTGACTTATGTGGACCACCAACTTCCAAAAGTTGCTCTAATAATAAAACAACTCAAAATGATATATAAGAGTATGAGAAGGAGATTTCCGAGTGGTTATGGTTCTATATTAGCATGGTACTAGGATATGTGATTGGATTTTGGACCTTTTGTGGTATTCTCTTCCTCGAAGACACATGGAGGCTTGCTTATTTCCATATGATTGATGATATGTATGATTGGTTCTGAGTGCAATGATATTTAATCTTTTGACGATTACTTAGACTTTAATCCTAAAATTTTGAGTGTGGATAATCCAAGACTTTACGGTAGATGGGGAGAAGGTATGTCATCACTCTACTTTTTATTTATATGATATTTTAGATTTATAGATTGGCTGTGATTAATGAAAAAAGAATTTGTGTTCTTGATATAAGAAAAGATGAACTGCTATATTTATGGTGTTTGAAGATAGGTATTGATCAATTTCTATGTAATGTGGTTGGTTATAGTCTTTTTCTATTTGAGGCTTGCATAATTATAACTACAACCAAGTCTTCCGTACGAAGATATAGTTTAAAAATATGCTATATTGATTTTAAAAGAACAAACACATTACTTTCGAAATGATATAAGAGACATTATAATTTAACTAGCATGTGTGGATTGGACACAGATGAAGAGAGGGGTGGCATTGGCAGAGGGAGAAAGACAGATGAAAGAAAAAAAAGAGTTGTGAGATTTAATAAGGATATTGTTTTTATATCAAGAGAGTAAGTTTGAAATTTGAAAGATTATATATATGAATTATTTTGAATTCCTATTCATCCCCCTACCAAAGAGTAAATAGGACTATAGATTAATTAATCTAAAATCATTGAGTATATTGTGATTTTAAAGAAAAAAATAATTATTCTTAGATAAGAAAGAAAATATTATGATTATTTATTGGATTGGTTTATATTATTTGACTGATTTAAAAAAAGAAAAAGGGTGTTGATGACTATATCAATTATAAGAGTCTTCGATTAAGATAAGTATCCAATGATTTTGTCTAACTTGTTTTCAAATTTAATAATATATATTTGTTAATAATGAAGTTATGTGATTTGCAAATGTTAAATTGGCTTTTGAAAATAAGTTTTTCAATATTGCATTTGTTTAACGCAATTAAAATATTTAATTATTATATATTTGAATGTTATATTGTTGGACATATTTGAAAAGATACGTAAAGAGTTATGCATTGGAAGGATATGTCAATATGTTATTTCAAATGATGGTTAATTACCACAATTTGGGAGAGGACAGCAAACTCGATAGGACATTGATTAACATTGTCGTGTGTGGCGAAGGAGGAGTCTTAACGAACACTACTAGCATAATCTCTCTTTATTATGCCTTTGAAAAGTGGCTGAGTCTGTCATCTCATATCTGTATTAATAATACAGATTGGTTAACAAATTTCATGCTGTACAGGTATCCAGAAGATAAATATGAGAGGACATGGGATCCATGCAACAGTTATATTATTGGTTGTGAAACATGGAATTTTACGAGCACTACTTTGGGAATCAAGACCACTCGTGGTGATGCTTATGAGGTCCCAGGCATGGTCATGGGGACTGCAACTGTTGCTGCAGATAATTTTACATTGCAATATTTCTTGGGCTATGGCCTCAATTCGAGTGTTCAAACAACATTCTATATCTATTTGCACTTTGCTGATTTCGACTATTTAAGTGGGAATGGAAGTAGAATTTTTCAGGTGAGAGCAGATGGGGAACCCGATAGTGATAACATCAGTCCTGCATATCTACTGGCAACTCATGTCCATTTCATCCATCAGCTGGCGTACCCAGGTTTAGAAGGTTATTTTAATCTTTCAGTTTTGGCAACAGATCCAGCCGATGGTATGCTATCCCACCACTACTTTGGACATCCATTGCTCTAGTCCAGTCAATAACTTGTATCATCTGCTTGTTCTTTTTTTTTCCCCCTCAAGATGAACTGTGTTTTTCTTATTAATTACCTGCTCACTTTTGGAAGACTAACATGCAATGTGACCAGTCATGCTTTCTCCCCCTTTTATCCATCTTCTGAAAGGAAAAAAGTGTAGTATGTTATTGGCATAAAACCGTGCATTATCCATTTCACTGGTGTCTTACCTGAACATATACAATAAGTTGTTTGCTTATTTAGCTGATTTGAAGTTTACATATTAAGTTGAAGATGAATATATTGTTTCTTTCCTTTATTTTGTTTTAGCATTGGTAAAATGAAGCACATTTTCTGTCACCTTTGTTAAAATAATCAGTCTAAGGGAACTTACTTAGGGATCCATTTGGTCAATTTGGAGTGTACAATAATCCCAAAGACTTGATTATTGCAATGAAATGTTTGAGATATTATGCATAACTATCAATCCTAAGTTCAGAGGATATGCATACTTTTCAGGAAAAAATGTTAATTATTCTTTTTGAGGCCAAGCACTTGAACCATGCATTATCAGAAATCATAATTTATATTCTTCTGCGCTTTTACTTCTCGTGGTGATTTGACATGTCTGAGATGATAAACAAAAGTTAGATTGACAACAATATATATGACTGAGATTGACAATATATAAAATGATTTGGTTACCGAACAACAAGTGATGTATCTAATGGTTCTGATGTGCCTGTAAATATCATTTCAAGATAGTTATTCATAAGCTAGGTCAAGCACAATTTGGATATTAATATCAATGGTAAGATCATACAAACATCTAAACCAAATCATATAAGGTGTTGGCTGTAGGTGTGCTCATGCATGTGAAACGCTTTTTCCGGGCAGAGTTGTGTCAAAATGCTTCATGGAGCCCATTTACTATTTTGAAATGAATATTAAATTTTGTTCCGAGGGGGCTACAATAATCATCTATATGGCATGCATCCGATTACATGCCAACCTTGGATTTTTTTCACAATAGATTGAATTCAGTACAGTGGACCATGGTTCATCTGTACTGAAGCTATCTCTTTCCTGAAGTAAATAAGAATTTCTCTCTGCATAGCATATCAGACATTGGCTGAACCTGTAAAATTAACAGTTGATGCTATGATGGGGATAAAGAAATTATATCAGATGAAGATATGGCAGGGTGATCCTTGTGCTCCGCAGCAATTCATTTGGAGTGGAGTAAATTGCACCTACTCAAGCTCTGGTACCCCAAGAGTCACCTCATTGTAAGCTCCAAGATTTGGTTGTTTTAAAAGACATCAATAAAAAGCACTGATTCTAATGTAATGATTTCTACTTTATTTTCTTTTGCAGAAACCTCTCTTATCATGGGTTGAATGGTGCTATACCAAATGCTTTGGCTAATCTGAAGGCCCTTAACTATTTGTAAGTTTCTAAATTTATCGTCAGAGGCTGCTGGCTAGCAACATCATGCAGACAACTTGAGAACAATTTGTAGATGTTGCATGAAATTGACTTGGTACCCTTTTACATGTGTATTTTATTCACTTCTAATCTCCTTTTTCTAACTCCATAAACAAAAGGCTTTTGTTTTTTCATGTTAGTTGCCAAAATTAGGAATGCAGATGGACCAGTTTACAAACCAAAGCATTAGCTTGAGGTTTTCTTTAACCACATCCTATAACATCCAAACTGAACTAATATGGCTTTACTAATGCAATCTGGTTTCCAAGGACCAATCTGGTTGAGAAA